CACTTCCTTACTACTGTTGGTGAGAGTTCAGAAGTAATGAGATAGAGGAGGACTGATATCTGAAGAGAAACAGAAACAAGAGAGAAGTGCCCGCCTTCCCCACACCTTCCATGCCAAGCCTAGGGCTGAAGGTAACAAGACGTGGCCTGGCCCAAGTACATACTAGATAACACCATCTCTGGGGGCTCCTTTCCAGATTCTCATATAAGACCTAAAAGCACCAAAATGAAGAGAATTAAACAGCAAGTCCTGGGACTTGGGTTTCAGTTTGGCTCTGTCACCAGTATGTTGACCTCAGACAATCACCACATAACTGAGCATCTGTTCCTCCACTAAAATGAGGTGCCCACTTGGCTAGTCTCAGAATCACTCTGAGGATAAAGTAAAATAATAAAAGGACTCTAAAAAGTATAATGTAGGAAGATTCTTTAGAATCTCATTAATTCAAACTCTAATTTAGAATTTGTAATATTTGAAACATTTTTTTTTCATAGCAAAGAATAAAAAATGTGAAGCTCCCAAATTTGTTACTTCAGGAACTTACAAAGGGCAGGAACTTAGTCTTTACTCATCATGGCATCCCTTGCAGACAGCACAGTGCCCAGTAACTGCTCCCTGTGAATCTGCACCTTTATGCATACGTGTGTATATCTGCATATTTACATACACTCTACTTACACGTTAATCTGTAATATATGTAGTTTTTCAGAAGTCCTTTCAGGAAGACAGCAAACAGCAGGAGGACGCTGGAGAGAGGATAGAGGGGCTTTAATGCTGGATCATCAAAACCTAAATGGAAGCTGAGGAATTGGGGCACATATCAAGAAGAATCATTCCTGAAAAAACTTCCCACCTCTGCTTCTGAGCTCTTCTAATCATTTAGTGGAGCAAGAACCGATTTTAGCAGATCCAAGATAGAGTCAGCAAACGAAATGGGCTCATTTTCTCATCTGGCGAATGTGAGAGAGCCTGGGGCTGAGATCTGCAGCCCTAGTTGAGCCTACTGTGTAGAATATTGAAGGTAGAATCGGGAGATAGTGGATCCAGGTTACTGCCTGAGGACAGCGGTTCAGAGCATGGAATTTGGGGTCAGACATGTCTGGTTCAAGACCTTCATCTGTCAAATAAGTGAATGGTCTCTGGCAAGTCGTTTAACTTCTCTGAGTTTGTTTTTTAATCTGTACAGTTCACATAATGCTTTCTCCAAAGACTGTCAAAATGATTGGACACAATATGAGGGTTCTGCAAAAGGTTCATGGAAAAATAGAATTAAAGGATGATAAAAAAAAAAAAAGTTCCCATGAACTTTTTGAAGACCCCTCCTCATACATGCAGAGTCCTTTTGCAAGAGCCTCAACCACTGCGGGCAGTCAGACAGACACTTTTAGCTGTTGATTTTACCACCAATGCTTTGTCTGTGATTTTGGAAAGGGAGAGCTACCCAAAGCCTACCTGAGGGAGGAACACTCCAGGCCAGTTAGCTGTGGACTCAATTCCTGATATTGACTAGTTATGACTCAGGGCAGGGACAGATCTCATCTTTGCTCTTGGCAGTAGCACATGATAGGTAGGAAGGCACTTATTAAATACTTAGTGAAAAGAACTGCATGACCTCAAGTAAGCTACATAAGCAGTGTTGTTTTCTCACCTACCTCTAGAGTCTAGCTTCCAGAGTGGTAGTGGGTAGGAAATGAGATATAGTCTGAAGAGCACCTAAATGGTGCTTGTTCCTTCTCCCTATTCCTAAACACAGGTTAGCAAGAAACACCAACCCAGAACCGTAATTTGCTGTGCCTGGACACTAAGAACTCTGAATCAATTTATTCAAGCTCACAAGAAATTGCACAGGTAGTTTCTTCTGGCAGATGTTTCCGCATGGAGATAGTGCCTCTGTAGTCTGCAGGAGCTGAGAAGATAGACACTCTCCTCTAGATTACCTTTTGGAGCAACTGATAGGACTTGGGAATTTGTCTGGGACCTTCCACTGTATTCAAATGAATGGCAGAGATTTCATTTCACCGGTGTTAAAAAGAAAAAGGAGATAGAATAACAGGCATTCAATTAAAATCATTCACTTTTGCTATGTGTTTACTTATAAACAAGACCTCACCCTCACCCCACCCCAGGGATTTACTTCCTTCTCTGGTCCCCAAAGAGACACTCTTTACTAGATTTTCTGAACTGAAATGGAGCAACCATTCTTATCTCAGTGGTCTCACTAAGTGCTGATGAGAACAGAGCAAAATCCCAGGAAGGGGCACCAACTTTTCCTGTTTAAGTTTAGATGCAATGAGCTTTGGAGTTGCCTGATAACATCCTATCTAAACTGTGTTTAACACCAGTTGATGGGCAGCTCTATTTCTGATCCTTCATGGGGTTTCTTTATGCCCGTTGTGCTGTTCTCTCTGCTACTGCTCCTCAATGGCTTCCTTTGCAGTCCTGTCATTTTGCAAAATCCTTCTGCTCCAGGAAAAGGATTAGCAAAATTACATAGTATTGTCGCTATTTAACATTCAGGAAATGCAGCATACACATGCAAGTTATCAATCATCCTTACCAGATGGTAAATGTATCTCTTTTCACCAGAAATTGAGCAGCAAACATTCAAATTCATCACCAACACGACATTTAAATTCACATCCATTTTCAATCTGACATCCTTAATGAGTTGGTATAATGAAAATCAGTATTTCATCCCTATATGGTTGACTATTTGTAACAGATACAATAAAGCAGATTTGAGATTATAAATTGTCAATAAAGAAAATCTCACAACTTGCAATTTTTATATACACTGTATCTATACTTTTGTGTTTTCTTTCTTTTAATACCTGAGAGTTCTACATTCAGAATGGGCTAATGGAAATGGTACATTGGTAAGAATAAACATCTAGCAGCTTATATTGGTGTCTGTAATTTTAACATCACTGTTTTAAATGTAGTGGTTACCTTTTGTTTGCTTATAAAAAAAACTTTGAGATCAATGTGTTCTCTGTCTATTGGACAGTACTATGAGGCAATTGAAGCCCATGCAGGGAAAGAGTAAATAAATTCTTGATACTCCAATGGCAGAGCCAGGGATCTCTGTCCTCTGAGTCCCACATCTAGATTTCTGCCCAACTGATGTTCTCTAAAGATCTCCTAAATTTTGGCTTTTGCTGGTTACCATCAAATTAAATGGCATCCCCAGATAGTCCAGTTTCTGTGCCTTTAGGGGGAAGAATCGTTGTTACAGGCTGAAGTGTGTCCTCCCAAGTTCACATGCTGAAGTGCTAACTCCCAATTACCCCACAATGTGACTGTATTTGAAGATAGGGCCTTTAAAGAGTTAATTAAAGTAAAATGAGGTTATATGAGTGGGCCCTAATCCAATATGACTGGTGTCCTTATAAGAAGAGATCTGGACACAGACAACACAGATGGAGGGACAACCATGAGAGGGCACAGCAAAAAGGCATCATCTGCAAGCCAAGGAGAGTTCAGAAGAATCCAAACCTGCAAACTCCTTGATCTTGAGCTTCTAACCTCCAGAATTATAAAAAAAAAATAAATTTCTGTTATTTAAGCTACCCGGACTGTAGTATTTTTTTATGGTTATTTTATGTGGTATTTCGTTATTTTGTTATTAGCCCTAGTAGACTAATACAGCCATTGATCGGAGGAAAATACAGAATTGACACTATGTTTATCTCTGTAATGGAAATTGTATTTATTAGAGTTCATTTATTTCAAGTAACAGAAACCAAATCCAGACAACTTAAGCACACATAGGGAATATATCCTAAGGATACAGTGGTATTTCATGGACCTGAAAGGAATGCAGCTGGCTTCAGACAAGCATTGGATCCAGGGCCTGCAGTACTGTTAAGATTCTGTTTTTCATCTCTGCTTTTCACTCTGTATCTGCTTCAGTTTTTTTATTCATCATAATTTTGGCTTCCTGGGGAGAAGACTGATTATCCCAGCTTGAATGAGGGACTCACCCGTAGTCTAACAGTCATGGCCGTAGGAGCAGGGTCACATGGCACAGAATGGCTGTCAGCCCTATGGATAGGAAGGGGCATTCTGAGGAAAAAGTCCTGTGTAGTATGGAGGTCTGCCCCCTCTCAAAGGCAATGGGGAGACAAATACGAGATGTTCAGTGTTCAAAGGCAGAATGGCCAATGTATTCAATTTGGCTACAAAAGCATCAAAATCAAAGCAAGAACAGCCAGAGACCTCATTCGGCCCAAGACTGCTTGCAACCTTATGGATATTTTCCAGCTGAGGACGGTAGAGAAGAAATAACTGCCAAGAATGTTGAATAGCAGTCAGTCAAAATCTGTGCGTCTATCAGCTGGGAAAAGTTGACTGGTGATCAATTAGAATTCCTTTATATAAATGGTGCAGAATGTTTATAATCAAAAAATAATGTGAAAATGAACATAACATAAAGCCAGATTGGTCTCTGGTTTTGTGTGTTTGAGAGCCTAAATCATTCCTCTCTGAGAAGAAGGGAAAAAAAGATTAATGCTTATTGTTCTGAAAAGGAGGTGAGTATAGAATATATGAGAAACAAACTCTCGAATAAATCTAAATAAAAAATGGTTACGCAGCCTGCATTAGTACAGGGAAGGGCATCCTCATCTGGCCTGGGCATTCCTGTTTTTGCTTATGTCACTCCCTCCTCTTTCTCCACCATGTCTCTACCCCTGCAGCCCCAGCTTAGGTGCTATCTCTTCCATAACACATTCTCTGACTACACAATTTAACATTTTATTTTTCTGAAATTGTTTTGTGTATATTGTGTTCCCCTTTGTAGACTAACTCTCCTTAGAATTAAAGCCCATAGGCTCTACTCCTTGTTCCCCATTTTTCTGACAGGGCCTGGTGTGCTTTTAGTGAACAACATTTGTTGCCTGACTAATTGTCATGGGTTGAACAGGAAATGATGGTCAGAAATCTGCTTGCTGGGCTCAAATAATCTTAGAATAATTAGAGAAGAGAAATATCCACGTATATTCCTTTTAAGATAAAAACTTTATTTTTACAGTTTTATAAAGCGGCTTTACATTAAGCACAAACAACCCATTCACTTTGTATAGAAACAAAATAACTTTCCATCTGCAAAAAATGAAGTTCTGCTGTATATAAAACTAACATGTGCACATTGTGCTTAAACTGCAAAGTCTGTACAGCTTTACAAAGGACTACCCTTCAGAAGGGCATCCAGTAAACACTTTATTGCATATTTAACACATGGTATATAACCCACACGAACAGTGGAAGAGAAACAAGAAAACAATTACAAGAAGGATGAAAATAGCAGCTTTCAGTGAAGGTTTGCACTGACAAAGGAAAAGGACTGCCACATCTGGAGAATTGTGCTTGTGTGTCATTTTTGCATTTGCTCACACACACTGGATGGTTCTTGGATGAAGCCTTTATGTACAATAACTCCTGAAGAGTCAAACTTAACTTCATCTGGAAAATTTTGGCTGGTGTTACAAATAAAGTGGCAATAGATTTAATGCCAAAGCTAACTCAAGTGGGGAAAACACTAATACCTATAATCTTAAAACAAAGAAAAATTTAAAGAAACAAAATAAGCCCTCCCCATTCTAAACTCAGAATAAGTAAACATTTTACATGATTTAAAACCCTACAAAACTCTGTAGATGTTTAGAGGCAAAAATGCAATGGATATTCTCTGGCAGGTTCGTCCACATATGCCCCCAGCTCACTTGCATCAGCATCACCTGAATGCTTGCTAAAAATGCAGACTATCATGCTTCACAGGCAGATTTACTGTGTATCTGGGATCTGCATTTCAATAAGCTCCCAGGTGATTCTGAGGCATCCTAAAGTTTCAGAATCACTGGTCTGTACTGACAATGCCACTGCAGGTTCAATTCATTCTTCTAGAAAATTCTAGGACCACAAGACAAATCAAGTCGCTGTTGCAATGTGGAAGGCAGTATAAAACCAACAGCAATGAAGTAGCAATGCCATTTCTAGATCAAAAGGTCTTTTTTCAGTGGAAAACGACAGCCACATTATTAAGGCACTGATATTTCTCATAGAAGCAGTACCATACTGTTTTCATTGATTCCCCTAATCTGAAGACCAGCATGCAAACACAAAGCAGAAGTCTGGACCATTCTAAATAACAACAAATATGAAATAAAAAAGGTTCCCAGATTGGAGAAAGTTTATTTTGAACATTGGCACTGAAAATAAAAATTAGGGAGTACAAATATTCTTGCTGAGACATCTAAAGTATAAGAACTACAAAGGTCAAAAGCTAGAGGAAAACCTAATAACCCACAACTATTTTTGTTGTGGGCAAAAGTAAAAGTTGTGGTCACATAAATTGGAAGTTTGAGCTTACTTTCGGCCAGTTTAATATTGTCTTTAGTGCAGATCTATATCTTCTTCACTCCTGCCCCCTTTGATGCTAATATATATAATTTACATATATATTATATACATATATATGTATGTATTTTCTGGTTTCTAAGTAATGGGTGGCAGGCTGAATTCAATTAAGATATAGTGGGTAGGCAGGTAACTCACCTGGTTCTTAAATGTGCACTTGATATAGGTCACAGACAAACAGCATTGTTTTTGTCAGATTCAGTTCTCTGAAAGTGCGGGGTCTCATATTTCCAAACTATATAAGTCATAGTATTAATTTAGTGTATTGTCATACCCTGAAACAAAAGCCAGAGCAAAATCAATCCCCCTTGGTTTTAACCGAATGCCTGAAGCCCTATAGCAGACACTGCCCATGGTACGAGGGCTCTAAAACCTATTTATGTGAAGTATATAGAACCTAAATAAAAATCTGATTACACATGTATAGCAAATGCAATAGCATCTCTTCTATCTAATAGCTGGAATAATTTAAAATTAAATTTCAAAGAAAAAAAACCCACATACAATCCATGGTTTGGAAAGTTGATAATCAAGAGTGATCATCTGGGTAGGGAAAAAAAATCCCCTATAGATTCTTGTATGTAATATTTGACCTAGTATTTTTCTTTAAAGGGTAAAAAAAGTCCTAAAAGAGAGTGTTGGGGAACTTATTAGCTCCTTCCCAAATTTAGGTTTGTAATAAATTTCCCAAATAATGTCCCCCCCCCCCAAATGAGCAAAACTCTCAAGTGTAGCCTGAAATAAAATACAAAATTCTAGATAGTGACAAGAAGAAACCATCACAATGGGGGCGGAGGAGGGATAGACTGATTATCAAACTCTTACTGATAGTAGATCAAGTTTCATAAAACATAACATTTTTGTAATATCTTGTGCAGTCAACAAGTTTCATTTTAGTTGTGCTTACATAATATAATTGTGAAGCCTGAACACTGGTTGTGTTTTTAATTTACACATTTCAAGAAAATCATAATTCAAAATATTCTCCATATAGAACACATTCAACAAATGCAACAAATGCTCATTTGCTCCCAAGACATTAATGTATAGAAAAGAAACACCTTTTAAAAAAGTTGAATAGAGTCCACTATCCAGGCTAAAAGTACGAATTTACTGTATTATAGCACATTAATTTTTAAAAAATCTGCTTTCAACATAAATATAGATAATCACATTTCAAAAGAGCTCCATACTAAGTTTTCAGGTAAGTGCCAGACAGTTGGCTGGTGATAGCCACTTACCATTATCTTTCCCAAACTGAGAGTGACTGGACCAAGTGTGGAACTGTACAGGGTAACAAGCAAGGCAAAGTTAAACACTTTTGTTCAGACCCTTGACTTCAACACTTTCTGCTCTAAATGCCACCCACATTTCTAAACACCCAACCCATGGAATGCAATTATTTCAGAAGACTGGTTTTAAGGATTACTTATCACTTTGATACAGTCCACAAAAACCTAGTACACACCTTTTAAAATGTGCCTATGCTCTGCTGAGACAGAGCCTGTAGTTTCTGTGTACAGCAGAGGCTGAAATATGATTTTGGTTGTGAGCTCTAGTTGTGCTTTGCCCTGCTGCCTTTAAGGTAGCTTTTCCACCTCTTGACAAATTCTTTGAAGATTGGGGACTCATCAATGGTACTAAGTAGCTGCAGCTGATTGATGTGGGTGGTATGATAGTCCCAGCGGGCCAGGTTAGGAGCGATGCCGAGCATGAAGTGACGGAGGTCATAGATGGTTCCTGAGCCAGTGTCGTACAAGGGCAGCATGGCTTTAAGGGATTCCATGCCATGCTCAAACAAGAACCTTGCTTCTTTCCCGAGTTTTTCCCCTGCAGTTTCTTTTAAGTCATACAGCCCAATTAAAGAATACATAAAGCCATTTAAAACAAAAGAGCTAGGTGTGGTTGGGTATTCTTCATACCAGTCATGTTTATTCATAAACACAGCTTTAACTCCATGCTGCTCTGACAGAAACTTGTAAGGGGCTGTTGCCCTTAAAGCTGAATTGAGGAACATATGGTCTTTTGTTAACAGATAGGCCCTGACTAATGTAGAAATGGCTTGCCCTTGGGCCATGGCAGAGTACCACCCTGGCTCTAAAGACTTGAACCCTTCCCCTAACTTACGGGTCACCATAATTGGCCAGCCACCTTTCTCATCCTGGTTCTTTACCAGCCAATCACTAGCAGCAAAGAATGCAGCCATGTGGGCTGTGGTAGAGATGGTAATATTGTCAAGGAATCCCTTCCCTTTTGCAATCAACCTAACCACCTTCTTGGGCATTATTTTGGTTGGCTTGACAGCTTTTGTGTTGGAAAGACCCACTCCTTTCCTGAGGTCAGTGACTAGGTCCCTGGTAACCGTGCTCCATGAAGTTCTGGGCCCGATGCCATAGTATATGTCTCTTTCTTTAAAAGCAATTAGCTGGGTATTTGAGACATAATGTACAGTGAAGAGCTGATTCTTTTCTGTGGTCTCTAGAACCACGGACACACTCCCATTTGTCAAGAACTTGAGGTCAAATGAAATAATAAAGTCTTTAGTGTTTCCCAGTTGCAAGGACACACCTTCACTGGTTTCTGTAGAAGGGAATATACCAACAAAGGCTGGTTAGAGTAAAGGTACTTTTGTATTTGAAATTTAATTGCAATTCATCCTCAATAACCACTGAGCATACAAAATTAACACTTGAATATTTTGTATATCGATCTTTTTACAAAACTTTTTACTAAATTAATCATAAATAAATGACAGAACTGGTGAGTTCATGATGGCTTGTAAGCGTCAGGTCAAAGCTATTACCTTTGGCCCTAGCTAGTTGACATTAGAGGATTAAGAGCAAATGGCTAAGTTATTGTTGTTGAACTGTCTTTTCTAGATCTAACGCTAGCTGATCAATAATCAATGACTATTCTAGTATACCCATTCTGCAAAAAGAAAAAAAATAGCCAAAAGCTGGCTCTGCATATAATATTGCAAGAGAGAGGCAAGAAAGCAAAAATGGTTATACAGGTGCTTCTCAATTTACAATGGGGTTATGTCCTTATAAACCTATTGTAAGTTGGAAATATTGTTGTTTAAAATGCATTTAATACACCTAAACATCACAACTGAACATCACAACTTAGCCTAGTCTACCTTAAACATGCTCAGAACACTTACCTTAGCATACAGTTGGGCAAAATCATCTAACATAAAGCCTATTTTATAATAATAAAAAAATTTTTATAATAAATGATTGCAATTCCAAATTCAAAATTCGAAGTACAGTTTCTACTGAATGCATACCACTTTTGCACCATTGTAAAGTTGAAATATCGTAAGTCAAACCATCATAAAGTCAGGGACTGTCTGTACACGAATTTACAATTTTTTATTTAATTAACATTTAATATCTATTTACTATGTTCTAAGTGCTTTAGGCATATGAACTTATTTAATCCACTGAACAGTTATAAGAGTAGGTGCTATTACTACCTCCAGTTTACAGATGAGACACAGAGAAGATAAGTAACTTGTCCAAGGTAAAAAGAGTTGAACCCAGGTTGTCTAGTCTGGCTCCATAATACATGTTCTTAATTTGATGCTGAAAATGAAAGGTTTTCAGATATTTGTTGGAATTGTGAATAAAATTTCTGGAAATTAAGCAATGGGCTCATGTATATAGCAAAAAGTGAGGGATGGTGGGGGGCAAAGGGGAAGCATAGGCTTTGGAATTAAAAACCTTAGATTTGAATTCTTGTTCTATCACCAGCTTTCAGAAGTCTGGAGAGATATATCTCTTTGAGTCTCAGTTTATTTACATGTTAAATAGAGATACTATTACTTTGCAGGGTAATTGGGAGGATTAAAAAAAATAATGGCATGGAACATAGCAACAAATGATAGTGATGAGTATTATTATACTGATGCCACTAGCTTCATGGGCTAATAAAATAGTAAGAGCCGTTTTATTTGACAAATTACTACATAGTAAATTTCTCTTGTATATCTATAGTATAATGATGGTTGATTCTCAGAAAGATGACTTTCTCAGTACTGCTCTCATCAAGATCTACCAAAAAAAGAAACTGGGCATATTATAATCAAACAGCAGCAAAAATAAGAACAAAAATAGAAACAGTAAACTTTTTAAAATATTACAGAAAAATATGATTATTTTGATCTTTAATTTCCAAAACATATTCAAATGTATTATCATATATATATATTTTTTTTTTCCTTTTTGTCTTTTTTCGTGTCCGGCAACGGATCGCAACCCTCAGTGTTGCCCCCGTACCGGACCAGGACCGGCAACGGGACCGCAACCCTCGGTGTTGCTCCCACACCTCGCTCAGCCAGTGAGCGGGAACCGGTCTGTATGTGGGATCCGAACCCTCGGCGGGAGCGCTGCCGCACTCCCAAGTGGCGCACTGTAGCAGTGCGCCACCAGGCTGGCCCAGTATTTGATCCTTACAATAATCTTCTGATGATGGTAGGGCAGGAATTATTATTTCCATTTTAGAGATAAAGATATGCAGGCTTTGCAAAGTTAAATGGTTTGCCCAAGGCCAAAATCTAATTAGTGGTAGAGGAGGGATCTAGAGTGGTAGATCCAGGTTTTCTGGACCCAAGTTTAAAGGCTGTGGAAAAGACAAATGATATTAGAAATGGCATCCTCATGAGAATAATCAAGGGAAGGGTTATTTCCCTTAGACACAAAAAATCAGATCTTTGCTTTGAAGAGTCAGTGAGGAAATCTTTAGTGTTGCCAGGAGTAAAGATCAGAAATGTGAACTGATGATAGTGTATACAGTGTGCTCAGCTTGGAGAGTGTCAGCATGTTGAGTTGATTGTTTAACTCTTGCAACACTGGACTCTACCAGTATAAATATATTTGTCCCAACACTCTTAATTACTTTGTTTGAAAGAACAGACAATTATGGAAGTTGTATCAAGAAAATAATGCTTTGAGTGACTTAAAAAATTGATTTCAGAAGTAAATTTCTAAAACAGTAAAAATCTCTTTTATATGAAAAATGTCAAAATGCACTCTCTCTTAACTAGCATTTTTCTGCATCTATAGTGAATTAGAATCTGAAGCTCAGTTCTTCATCCCAGAAACCTGCAGAATTTTGAATCGAGTTATGAATCACTCAAGATTAAGTTATATTTGCAGAGCAGACTATCTTGAGTGCTACTTATTTTTTCACTCTAGGGGTAATGCTTCATTCATCAGACAATATTATCAATTATGACATCTATTCTGGCCAAACTGGATGACAATGATCCATCTTTAGAAGTCCAAACGGGAGGAAGCTGAAACACCCATTTTCTCCCAGAACTCAATTCTAATTTTCACTTTATTTATACAAATTTAATGAAATAATATAGTTCAATCAAACACCTTATGCCAATATAACAGATCAGTCTAAAGAACACAGTAATGAATAATGTCACGGGATATATAACTCTTTAAAAAAACCATTATTAATTTTCCTAAAACCAGCAGAGGGGGTTACTGAGTCACATAGGAAAAGTGACAGAGAATCCTCAATTTAAACTAACCAACCCACAATCATAGTCCTCACAACAATCTTATGAGATAGGTCTTTTAATTCCCATTTTACAGACGTACAGAGGAAGTTAAACAATCTGTCGACATCATTAGGAGGATAGTTGTGGCAACCAATTTGGAAATAAACCAAGTAAGGTTCTGAGCTCTACTGGAAGTATTATGCTATCTGGAGACCCCTGCTTCAAATCTACTAATAGAAAGTTCTGGGTTTTCTATTGTTTGAAATTCATGACCCTTCTCTCTCTGAGCAGTTTTTCCCAAGAGTCACTATATTTATTTTTGGGATATGTGGTACATGTATATAGACTTTAGGCATCAAAGGATGATAAACATTTAAGAGTAGTCTTGACATTGGTCTTACAATGATATTTTGGATTTAATACCAAAAGCATAGGCAAAAATAGCAAAGATAAACAAGTGGAACTACATTAAATTAAAAGCCTTCTGCACAGCAAAATAAACAATCAACAAAATGAAAACAGAACCTATCGAATGGGAGAAAATATTTGCAAATCATGTATCTGATAAGGGGCTAATATCCAAAATATATCAGAAACTCATACAACTCAATAGCAAAAAACCAAATAATCTGATTTGAAAATGGGCAAAGGATATGAATAGACATTTTTCCAAAGACACAAATGGCCAAAAGGTCATGGAAAGGTCTCAACATCACTAATTATCAAGGAAATGCAAATCAAGATCTCAATGAGATATCATCTCACACCTGCTGGGACAACTATCATCAAAAAGATGAGAGATAACAAGTGCTGGCAAGAATGTGGAGGGAAAAAACCCTTTGTGCACTTTGGGTGGGTATGTATATTTGCACAGCCATTATGGAAAAAAGTATGGAGGTTCCTCAAAAAATTAAAAATAGAACTAACATATGATTCAGCAATCCCACGTCAGGGTATATACCTGAAGGAAATGATATCAGTATCTCAAAAAGCTATCTGCACTCCCAGGTTCACTACAGCATTATTCACAATAGCCAAGACATGGAAATAACCTAAGTGTCTGGTGATAGATAAAAAAAATGTGGCACATATATACAATGGAATATTACTCAGCCATAAAAAAGAAGGAAATTCTGCTATTTGCAATAACATGGATGAACTTTGAGGGCATCATTACTAAGTGAAATAAGTTAGACAAAGACAGATACTATATGATCCCACTTATGTGTGGAATCTAAAAAAGTTGAACTCATAGAAACAGAGAGTAGAATGATGGTTGTCAGAGCTGGGGATTGGGGGAAACAGGAAGGTGTTGGCCAAAGAGAACCAGCTTTCGATTATACAATGAATAAGTTCTGGGGACCTAATGTACAGCATGGTTACTACAGTTAATAATAATGTACTGTATACTTGAAATGTGCTAAGAGAGGAGATCCTAAATGTTCTCACCACTACCACCACACACACGTACTAACTATGTGAGGTGATGGATGTGTGAACTAACTTGATTGTGGTAATCATTTCACAATATATACGTATATCAGGGCATCACATGTACACCTTAAATATATGCAATTTTATTTGTCAATTATACCTCAATAAAGCTAGGAAAAAAAGAATAGTCTTTAAATCAGTGTTTTCACGTACAACACAAACTGTTATCATTAATTGATTTAATCAACAGGTTTATTATGTAAAGTGAGAAGAGGCCTTACTCAGAACTTTGAGCAACACTAAGAGAGAAAAGAGTCAGGCAGAAGAAGGGAAGCTCACAAGAAGCCTGAGAAAGAATAGCTACAGAGAAAGATGAAAGTGAGGTCATACAAATGAAATGAGAAGAGTGTTCTGGGAAAGTGAAAGCTAATTTAATTTATGAGACTAGGACAGGCATAACACTTCAACTCATTTAATTTTAAAATTAGGAAGAGGAACAAAACATTATTCAACAAATAAAACAATAAAAAATATGCTGCAGACCCATATTATGGTTTTTTACTCTAGATGACTTTTTTCCCTTAAAAATTCAAGGCCAAGAGAGAAAAAAATAAAAAGCCAACATCATTCAGCCCCTGGTCCTCCAGAGCCTTGCCTCACTTAGGCCTATGCTTTTATATATAAGTCCCAATTTCTTCTCAACAGTGATTCTCTGAATTTATCTCCCATGAAATCTGTATCCTCTGAAAAGGCTCATCCCTCATACCTTTCCTTTGACAAAAGTCTCACCTCTTCGATTCCCTTCTACCACTCTGCTCTGAGCAATGACTCCGATGTAACTCCAACTCACTCTCCCTTATACTTTTATAGTATACAACTATAGGCACAGTCAGGATATTAAAACTTGTGTTCCATTCCAGCTAGCACACTTCCACCAGCAGGGAGTTCCAACTCTGAATATCTATGTCTCACTGACAAGTGGCTGCCACAGATTTCCCTCCTCCAGATACTGAAAACCACCTTAGGAAGTAGTTCTATCTCCAGCTACTGGCTATGGAATAAAGGGTTAAAGTAACGATCCCTTACTCAGATGTATGGACCTATCTTTTGTTATTACATAGGGCAGCCCAAAGTGCACAATGAAATCTGTTGCTCTAAATAGCGTAGAGTTCAAAAGATTGCTCTAAAAAACCTCCCGGACACTAGGGGAGATCAAGATAAAGGCTGCTGTTTTCTACCCTAATCCAGACAACATTAATTAGTACAAAAATAACCTTCTTGGGTATACCCAAAAACAAATGTTCTTTTGCTTAGTCTAATCACTTCCTGCTGCAATAACCTCTCAGGTCACAAGCTAAATATTCTTAAATATTTCATTGTAACTTCTCACCCAGCCAAGCCTGTTGTTTGACAATAAGCAAAGATTCTCTATGTACTAGAATACCACAGAATGCCATGGGACAAAAGAAGTTCTAGTCACAGAATAAAAATTAAAGATCACCCATTATTTTATTTGTACTGCACTAAGTACTCATAAATCCATTACTTAAGGCCATCTAGAATGAGCAGATTTGTATTGTAGCTTTCAAGATCTGTGAATTACACAGTCATCAGTAAAGGACAAGGAGAGAATACAGAAGACGTCTTATACCTAATCTTTCCTCTCTTTTTATTTACCGACTACGAGGTTGGTGGGAGAGGGAATGAGCTCTGTTTTTCACAACACTTCCCCACAGAAAATTAAGTCTAAGGTGCTAAAAACTATTTCATTGTCTTTTTAAGTAGTGGACTCATTAATTCTCATGGATACTGATTAGTGCAGAAAAATACATTACATTCTAATTAATATGACTGTCTTAGTGAAAGGGGAAATGTTGCATAAAGTTAATTTGATTTTATAACTGATTTTATTAATGAAAATGGTTTTATATGAAGTTTGAGATAATCTTGTACATTAACAAAATTCAAATGGGAAGAAGTCTGTTTGGTAATGCTGTATCACCTTGAAAAAATAAAAAGCTATTGGTAAAAAAATAAGCAAAGGAAAGGAAGGCTCTCTTCATAAAAAAAATACCCAATTTCAACCTTAATGCAAAATAGTTTAAAAATTAAACTATACTGTACTAAAATATCAAAATGAACCAGGGAACTTCACTCCTGTGGGTTTTAGATCCCTAGAGGGAGATACATACTGTGCAGTAATATGGATCTTAACATTCAATCTATGGCCTGGCTCTTCACACTGTAAATATTACTTTTTGTAACCTTGATTTTTTAGCTGTTCCTTCTTTAGGGGATTTCCCTTGGGTGACACCATTTATTTCTTTATATATGTACTATACAGGGTCTGCTAATTTGTTTTTTAAAGCCATATTAAAATGTTAAGGAAATAGCAGATGCCATAAATCAACATAAAATTAGCAGACAAAAAATACATAACTTACCTGGAGCAATAAACTGTTTAACATTGGTGAATCTAGACTTATCAGCCACACTAGCCACAAAGCAGCCCTTTGGCACAGTCCAATCATTGGGCTTGCTGTTTTTGTCCCTGTCTTCTGCTGTTTCATATACCTCTATGTGAGGGGGTTTCTCAGTTAAATTCTTGCTGTAATGACTTAACCCATACTGTGCAATCTGAATTGGGTAGAAATAGCCTTGAGGTCCCCATTGTGTAGATAATGGCACACCTATAAAATAGAGAAACAAAATGAATAATTATGTCCAGACATTTACAGCCTATTCTGGATACTACTCCCCATTGTTTTACTTCTGGGAAATATTATAGGGTTATCAGCAACTTTTGAGCTTCCTTATTATCCTGCTTTCATAGTTACTAGAAACTAGCACCAAATTAACCAGATATGAAAAACAAAACTAAATATTTGTTCACATGAATTAATTCACTCATTTATTATTTGTTGACAGACAGCAATGCAATGTTGTAAATTATCTTTTAAGCACTGATTTTTTATGTATGTTACTTTTGCTCATAGCTACAAATGTCATGTTTCATAGACCTGTTTCACACATTCAAATTTTGGCCAATTTAGGTGAATGTAGATAATGTCACCACCATTTTACTCTAAATATCAATCCCGAAATTTTCATAAATATTTGAACTTAAAAGTAAGTTAACTACATACTCACCTCTTCTAGTATATTATCTGATGGTTAAAGTATATTATCTGATGGTTAAAGAGTTTGCTTAAGAAGCCAGTTATGACTATGCAACTTAAAATATAAACAGTTTGAAATTCTTTTTCATATCCTTCCTATCAGAAAGTAATTCTTAAGAACAAGGAGTTTTCTTTTTTAAAAACACGAATTAAGGTTGTATATTTAACCATAAATTTTTAAAATAATTCATTAATGGATTACCTCTTGTAAAGGTCTAAGCAAAATTTTAAATGTGTGGTATTAGTGTTTATTTTAGTAATTTCCTACATGAGAACTACAATATGACATTGCACAGAATATTGTACTGTTAAATCATATGTGTTGAGAGACAAACTATTTATAGTTTTAAAGTAAATTAACAAGTATCTGATGGACACAGCAGAGTCTAGGAACCTACAAAATCATGTGTGTTTTGATGTAGTTTCAAAACAATGTTTAAGAATTTAGGGACCATACAGGCTAAGAGACCTAGGCTACAGATAAACTTTTTAACATCTGTATCCTTTCTCTAAGGGGAATTTCCCCCTCCCACAAATTCAAATAGAGTTATCATCACTCAATAAAAGCTAAATTTATATAATCTTATTAAAGATGGGTAATGACCACAATAATGTGCAATTGGTATTAAGAATTGAGGCTGGTCTATGGAACAGAATAGAGAGCCAGAAACACGCTGTAGTACTCATAAGAATTTAGTATAATGATAAAAGACTGCGTCACCAATCAGTGGGGAAAAGAGGAAATTATTCAATACATGTTGGGGAAAAAATCTAAAATTAGGCCCTGACCTTGTACCATTTGCCAAAATATGAGTATAAATCAATTTAGATGGAATAAAAAAAAGTTAAATGTAAAAAAAAATACAAGTGAAGAGCTGATCGCAGTGTGACAAGTGCTCAATACATGTTGGGGAAAAAATCTAAAATTAGGCCCTGACCTTGTACCATTTGCCAAAATACGAGTATAAATCAATTTAGATGGAATAAAAAAAAGTTAAATGTAAAAAAAAAATACAAGTGAAGAGCTGATCGCAGTGTGACAAGTGCCTCTTTCTAAGCATAAAAAGAGGTACAAAGGTGCCAAAAAATCCATGTTTAGTAAATAGAACTAAAAACTTCTAAAACTAACAAATCATAAGTAAAATTAAAAGACAAATGGAAGAAAATATCTTTGACAAATGTGACAAAGTGTTCCTACCCTTACTACATAAATAAGAGTTCATACAGATACTTTTTTAGAAAACACTAATCACATTTGAAAAAGGGGTAAAGAACATGAAGACATGGTTAAAGGATATGAAAAAGATATTTGACCTCACTAGTTGTTAAAGACAGCAAATTATGAGATCCCTTTGTAAACAAGACTAAAAAACAATGTTCCATGATGGCAAGAGTTAGGTGACACGAGCACCCTCACTCTCTGCTACTGGAAGCATCAGTAGGTTCTACCTTTTTGGAAAGCAGTTTGGCAAAAACAGATTAAGAGTTTATATTATTTGACATGGCAGTTAATTATATTCTCAGAGTAGAAACATACTACTCTGAGAATAAAATTAAAATAGCAAATGGAGATTAACAATGAGTATCTACAACATTATTTATAACAGCAAAAAACCTGAAAATAACCTAAGAGTCCAACTACAGGAAGGCTCCCAAATATTACACATACCACAACATGTCCTTAATATGTATTATTAGTCATTAATATGTACAAAAATATTCAATGACAAGCGGAAATAATAATAATATGTTAGGCGAAAACAATACAAAATACGAAACTGATTATATAGTATGATCCCAATTTGCTTAAAAAATCTACATCTACAAGAATAAAAGATTGGAAAAAACACATCAAAATATTAGGAGTTGTTATGGGTGCTTTTTAATTTTTCTTTAGAATCTAAGCACTTTTCGATAAATTTTTTGAAATTGCTAAAACAAACAAAAGTATGACCATGAGTATCTTTGAAGTCTCTAACAAACTATTACTCTCTTAAATCATTATATAATACGTATCATAAGAACTATGTTAAAAGATAAATACTTATGTTAAAGACATAGTTAAGTACATAAAGACCTCCAGAGGATATACAAAAATGTTAATAATTATCTTGAGTTAGTGAAAATATAGGTGACCTGGCCCCCTTCCTTCTTTTAAACATTTGGTAAACATATTATTTTATATATATATAAATATATATATATATATATATAATTTAAGTGGTAAAAAGAGAAAAAAAACTCCTGCATCAGAAGATGTAGACTCCAATTTCCAATTTAATGAATAAACACACTGTTAACTTCACAGAGATGGGTAAATCTTAGGGAGTCTGAAAAACACCCAGAGTCAACAACTGAGCACAAATTTCTTTCCAAAGCAAAAATGTATTAAGTTAAAAGCTGTTTCAACACAGATTTAGAAATATTAAGATATTAATATCACTTTGTAACAATATGAGGGAGATGAAATAAAACACAAACCAAGCAATCTCAAAACACATTAAGTTCTTTCCCCTATTTAAACGATGTAGTTTAAAGTCAAATTCAATTTGGCTTTCTGATCAACTCTAGGTTTGAAAAGCAATTCCCAAAGCATACTAATTATAACCATAAGGAACCCCCACTGTATACAGGTAATACTTTATCGTGCTGTCATCTGCGTGATATTTATGAAATAAATTGGTCATCTTTTGAGTGGGCTGGGGTTAAAATCAGGGAAAACACAAAAGTATCATATTAAGGATTATGAACTGTATATGATGATCTTCCAAATTCATTCATATATTTGCTCTTTCATTCATCTGGAGACCCTGCTTGGAGGTGGCAGGCCCTCCCCAGGGAGCACAGGCCTTTGGACCACAGGGTACATTTCCTAGCGCCGCCGCGCTTCCCAAGCGGCGCACTGTAGCAGTGCGCCACCGGGCCGGCCCAAGTCCCAGGTTTTAAAGACAATAAAAGTAAGTGATAGACTATAGGAGTTCAGTACAAGTTCAGAGAAAACAATGTCTATAGATTGTCTTAAGTACTTGAAACCTCCTTCTAAAAATGACACCCAGCTAATCAAGTAACAAGATTCCATTGGTATACTGATAGGTCCATTGGATGGTCTTTCTCCTTTTCCCCTCTCCTCTCGTAGTATAATAACTGTATATTTCAACACAAAATTTCTGGAGATGCTGTACCTTGACCTTACAGATGAGAATTTTAGATTCTGAGGTAGGTTAATGGAATAATTCTATTTTTTCAGGTATGATCTTATTGTAGCCTTTCTATCATACCATCTAGAAAGCTGCTCTAGGTTCAGACTTAACCTGTTCTTCCTTGCTAAGTCTGAGTAATGAAAGGTCTCTTGACAATAAGCTTGTACTTGCTGTATAATTAACATCTAGTTTCTTATTTCTTACCACAATCAGGCTAGAAAAATGCACGTGGAGCAGACAGATACTAACCTTCAACTCCACTTATGCATTTGACTCTGTCCCGGACTTCTACGTTGTAGCCTTCAAAGGACATAAACACACCATCAGGGTGATAAGGGGCTCTCTGTGCATAGACTTTGGAATAGCTATGAGAGAATTCAAATCGATCATAGCCATCATACTGAACCATTTTTCCATAAACATCAAAATATTTCTCTACCCAAGTGAATGGAAGAAAGACTTCATTTCCTTCTCGTCTTCCTTTAATGGTGTGTTCATCATTTATGAGACAGTCAATTTCTTCATATTTGAGCCCTACCACCTTGCTTCCCCCATTGCTATTGAGGCCCCCAACGACAGGGGGTGCTTTCTGCTGCTCTTGAGGGAGTGCCTCCTCAGACTGTTGTTTGGCCATGCGGTTCCCATAGTTGTTACCCTCAGATGCTGCTGCTCTTTTTTCTAATCCATCCACTCTGAAGCCACTACTCAAGTGCCGTGGAAACTGGATCGCTTTGTCGCTGGAACACTTATTCCACAAAAGTACTGTGACCAAAGTGAAGAGTGCACAGATGATAATCAAAGTCTTATAGTTGACCCGAGCTGCCAAGCAACGCATATTCAGACCATACCTATGGAAGCAAGAAGAAAAATTAATGCAGATATGTCCTACTGACATTTCACAGGATTAGGCTATTTTTAAATGATGAACAACCACATTAGGACAATTTTATTTTCTGCATGTAATCTCATCAGATTTAAAATTACTAACCCAAACATTTTAGCCCAAAGAAAAGGTAAGAGATACTCCCCCTTTGGTAAAATGCTCAGCATAATCCTCTAAAGCAGAGACGCCCAAACTTTCTTAGCTTATGACCCTCTTGGTAGTTCAGTAATTTCTCACAATGCCCCAGGCTCCCCCCAAATAACTATAAGTAGTTAGGTCCAAACAACTTAAGTATTTATGTCCTAACACCTTGGCAGCTGTCTGAAAAAGTGTAACAGATCTATTCAAGGAAATCATAGACATCCATATCACCAAATCTAAGTCAATTTTTAGTGCTCATCCTCCTGGACCTCTTAGCAGCATAAAATAGTCAGTGCCTCTTTCCTTCTTGAAACACTTTCTTCCCCTGGTTTCTAGGGCATCATTTTCTCTTGGTTCTCCTATATCTCACTGGCTGTTCTTCTTCAGTCTTCATTGAGCCTTCCTTATCTCCCTGATCCTTAAATGCTGAAGTGCCTTAGGGTCCTGTCTTCAGACCTCTTTATCTCTATTGATTCCTAAGTGATCTCACCCAATCTCATGCCTTTAAATACAATTTATATGTTGACTATCCCCAAATTCTATTGCTAGCTCAGACCTTTCTTCAGAACTGCAGATACATATACCCAAGTAACTGACATCTTTACTTGGAGGTCAAATAAAAATTTGAAATTCTGAAGTAACATCCAAAACTTAACTCCTAATCTTTCCCCTCAAACTGTTCCTCCCTTTCTATTGCTCAGACTAAAAATCTTGACTCCACTCTTGCTCACCCCATATCCAATCAGTCAAGAAATTCTGTTATCTCTTTCTTCAAATTATACCCAGAATTTCACTCTTTTCACCAACTCCACTGTTAGTGAGTCAAAGACACTGTCATCTTCCACCTGGAATACTGCAGTACTATCCAAACTGATCTCTCTGCTTCTACCCTTTCCCTACTGCTCCACCCCCAAGTCTATTCTCAATATAGCAGTCCAAATAGTGCTTTTGCATTTAAGCCAGATCGTGTCATTTCAGGCCTGATGGGAGAAGAATTTTATGTCATTGCCCTTGTTGGCCATATGGTGTACCAGCCAGTTGTGATCGCAATGCTAGTTCTGGGTTGCCTGTTGTTGGGATCATTAGGAAACAAGGGAAATTATGGGTTAGTTGTATGTGCAATGTATGGAATATTTTAGCCTGCTGAAAATAAAGCTATCAGTCTAATTGCTGTTTACCACAGCAGTTCTATAATTTATTGTATGGTGTAAATCCACAACTACTTATTGTTGGTAATCCCCCCTTTTCATTTTCCCCTCAACAAATCCTTTTGGCAGCAATAAGATTTTTAAAAAAATGAAAATGTTCGATAAAAAACTAAACACAGAATTTCTGCTTCTCAAGAAAGTTAATGGTGAATGTGTAATTCACTAATTTCTTTTAATACCAAGGGAAGATAAACTTTGAGTTCCTCAATGTCTGAAAACAACTTTATTCTGCTTTCACCTTGATTAATAGTTTGGCAGGATATAGAATCTTTGATCACATATTATTTTCTTTTGAAATATTGTAGGCAATACTTTACTGTCTTAAAGCATAAAAGGTTACTCAGGAGAGGTTTGATTTCAGTCTGATACTTGTCACTCTGTGCATGACTTCTCTTTGGATCTTTTGTTTATCCTAGGAATTCTGCGGTTTTCTAAGTATGTGTCATGATAGGATGTTTGATTCTCTATTTCAGCACTCGCTGTACCCCTTTCAATTTTAAAACTTGCATCCTCCTATTCTTGTTTAATGAATGTAGTATCTTCTTGGATCTCTGAGTATATTAGAGTTCTTTGTTTTATAAAGTTCTCCCTGATTACTTCTGTTTTCTCCACTGGCAATTTTTCTGGTTTAGTCTCTTTTACATGCCATGAGTTTTCCTCCGATGCCTGGTGATCTTTGGTGATATATTCATATTTAACACAGAATGACTCATTAGCTAACATGAATTTCCTCTATTTTTGTGAAGATGGTCTGTTTTTTGGCTAGATTGATCACCTGAGGGGGGATAAAAAGAGGGAGCTCTATGTGGGCTGGGCACAAGCTTACTGGCAGTATTCCTTCAGGGTGAGTGGGTAGGGAGCCATCAGACCTTCTAAATGCCAAAATGAAGACAGCTTTTTCTCTTTTGTTCTGGGGACATAACATGCACTTTAGAAGCCTTAGCCTTTGCCAATTTCCCTAAAGAAAATCTGCCTGATATTCTGCCTGGGATTTCTCTCCAGCTATCTGTAGTCCAACTGCAGGGTTGAGAGAGGTATGGGGAGGTAAGGAGAGGGTCCAGTTGTGCCTTCAGATACCTGAACAGAAATCCAGAAATCTGTTCAACTATCATCTTGGGTAGCCCTCCTATTTACTGTTATTGGTTTCTTCATTTCTCATTTCTATACCTTTCAGTGGGGCATCAAGATGGAAAGGAGGCAAAGATTTGAGTTTGGCCCATCTTGAAAATCATACACAGATTTTAAAAACTGGAAACCCAATAATACATTTTATCATCTCTATTATTAATATGAGAAAATGTGTCAAATGCTAAAAAACCAAAGTATGTTATAAGCAAACCTTCAGAAGTCATATATTTATAAATTAAGAATTTCTTTAGGGCCGGCCCAGTGGCGCACTGCTACAGTGCGCCGCTTGGGAGCACGGCGGCGCACCCGCCGAGGGTTCGGATCCCACATGCAGATCCCACACGCAGACCGGTTCCCGCTCACTGGCTGAGCGAGGTGCGGACGCAACACCGAGGGTTGCGATCCCGTTGCCGGTCCCGGTCTGGTGCGGGCGTGACACTGAGGGTTGCGATCCGTTGCCGGACAAAAAAAAAAAAAAGAATTTCTTTATATTGTAGTAGAGGCAAACTAATAACACTAAATGTTTATTTAAAAAAAATACTTCATTGAAAACACGTATTTGTCAACATTTGAGTAATCTGTCAGATATGTCTAACATTTTGAGCAATTAAAATGAAAATATAAAGCTTTCTGTCCCTCTTTGAGAAGTGCCCTTCCTCCACTACTCAAAGACAATAGCCCTGTTTATGGAACAAGGATACCATTATAAAGAGGCATATGATGGGAAAGTAAAGAAAAATTAAAATTAGAAACTTTCAATAACCCTTATACCCAGATTTTGTTATCTGATACCATTCCTTACTAAAAGCAATAGGGCTTCTTAGACAAATGAATGACTCTAGGTCTAGTGCTGGGACACCTTACCATGCCAGAAAACAAGGAAACTTTAGAATATTAATGGAATCATAATCCAGGGATTGAAAAAGCAGCAGGGAAGAGATAAAACAAAATTGGAAAAATAGTGATAATTTCTAAAGTGGAAAATGACTGGTATATTGGAGGTTCACAATACTATTCTCTATACTTTTATGTTTAAACATTTCCATAATTTAAAAGTATAGTGTCATAGCAAAAAGACACAGGAATCAGCCTGAAAGTTTCCCTTCCCTATTAAGTTAAGAATTATGGGCCGGCCTGGTGGCGCACTCGGTAGAGTGTGGCGGCGCTCCCGCCGAGGGTTCGGATCCCATATAGAGACCGGTCCGCTCACTGGTTGAGCGTGGTGCGGGCGCGACACCGAGGGTTGCGATCCCGTTGCCGGTCATGGTACGGGCGTGACACCGAGGGTTGCGATCCCATTACCGGTCATGAAAGAAAAACAAAAAGGAAAAAAAAAAAAAAGAATTATGACTGAAGTTGACTCAAACACACTGAATCAATAAGAATCCATGAGTTTATTACAATGATATTCAAAAAAGAAAAAGCTAGAAAAAAATTTAGATAATCTTCTGAGCTGGTGCAAATTGGTAACTAAGTGAAAGAATTTATCTTGCCTTTACAGCAGCAACTATTATTCAGAACAACCAACAACCCCAGTCAGTAAAGTACCCTACTTTACAGGCCAGATAATGTAGAAGAAATTTTTTTAAAAATCAGAAAACTAGCATTATGTAATCCCTCACAAAATTAGTGATTTGGGCAAGTGTTATACGCAGGTATATGTTTAGTATGACCTAGAGATTCACGCTGTGCAAATTAATGCCAAACACATCGGTTTCTAGTTGAAAGGAGAAAAAGATGAAACTCTAGGGGATCAGATGTTCATTACCTAAAATGAGTGGTCAACTTCTGTCTCATTCAGAAATTGTGTCTCCTGATAAGTTATAATAAGAAATACATAACCTATCATATACTCCAGCCAAAAATGTCTAACTTGGATCTCTCGGGCCTTAAGATTTAACTTCCAGTTAACAGGAAACACAGGGACAAATGAACAAATTAATCGAGGAAGTAACCAGACACATCTAGAAGTTAAGATACCCTGTGGGACAGTCAGCCCTGTCTTCTCAATTAAATTAGTGATATGAAAAGAAAAAGGAGACTGGGTTAGTTTTGTTTTTTGTTTTTAGAGAGATTTAAGGATATAACAACCAGATGTGAAACCTGGCCCTAGACTGGGAAATTTGATTATGGACTTGATAAGAAGGAAAGATACTGACATGGAGATAGTAAATTGAAAATAGGTTTCAAAACAACACATTTAGTATGATCTCCCTTTAGTAAAACAAAGCATTACATAGGTCTTCATTTTCTAATTTTTTATGATCACATTTACTGTTTTTTAACCATAAAAATAGAAAACTAAGAAGGGCAAAGTCAATTTTGTTAAAATATCAAAAGAAATGTAAACTTGAAGTTAAAAATGTCTAGAAATACTTAAGTTTTTTAAAACAGGGTCTGCTTTTTTTGGGAAAAGGGATTATAAGGAAGATGGAAAGAGGTTGGAGAGAAAGAAATCTCGGAGTGTAGATATGCAGTATAGTTAATA